GTGTGTGTGTGTGTGTTGTGGTGTGGTGTGGTGTGTTGTGTTGTGTTGTGCTGTGCTGTGTTGTGTTGTGTTGTGTTGTGTTGTGTTGTGTTGTGTTGTGTTGTGTTGTGTTGTGTTGTGTTGTGTTGTGTTGTGTTGTGTGTGTTGTGTTGTGTTGTGTGTGTGTGTGTGTTGTGTTGTGTTGTGTTGTGTTGTGTGTGTGTGTGCGTGGGTGTGTGTGTGGGTGGGTGGGTGTGTGTGTGTGTGTGTGTGTGTGTGTGTGTGTGTGTGTGTGTGTGTGTGTGTGTGTGTGTGTGTGTGTGTGTGTGTGTGTGTGTTCGTTCCCCCCTGAAGCTTTCAAGCCCAGCATCCTGAGCTTCCTGACAATCACTAAGGGGGCCTAAACCCACACCCTTCTGAAGGGCTTAAACTCTTTAGACCTGAACCCCCGAGTACCCTAAATCCCCAAACCTCCATCCCTTTCCCTGAGCCCAAAACCAACCCTGAAGAACCCCGAAAGCCGAATACCTCAAGACCCTCCTGGGGTTATTGTACTAAATAGTATATATATATATATACATGTATATACATATATATATATATATATTACTGTTAGTAACTGTTAGTAACTCTCCTAAGACCCTCCTACCCTACCAGGCCTGTCCCAGCCGGAAGCCCGCGCCGCGGAGCCAGGCGCGCACGCAGCGACAGCGCCAGGCCTGCCAGGTGCCCTTTTCGGCCCTGCTTGGTTCAGATTTGGATGCTCCCACTGGGGATTGTAGTACCCCCTATTATAATCTCTAAGGATAAAGGGGGAACATCCCAAGTGCAGATGTTCAAGGTTGCAGGGAGCTTTGTGCGGCTTGTGTCCTTGTGGCCGTGTCCGCTTCACCCACTTTTGATGAAGTCTGAGATGGGAAGCATGTCTGGGGCTGGGAAGCACAACAAACAAACTTATGAGATTCATGAGTGTTGTCATTGCTCCGTCCAAGGGCAGCCGTAGAATCGAGTTGGGGGAAACCCTTCAGGGTACAGGATCCCTAAACCCTAAACCCTAAACTTTAAACCCTAAACCCACGAAGATTCAAAGAGGACAAAAAGGGGGCCTCCAAGCAGGCTTTCAGTTGCTGGAGGTGGTCCCCAAGCTCTCGGTATTCGACAGTCTTCAGGATGAGACCTGAGGTTTAGGGTTCAGAATTTTAGGGGTTTAGGGTTTGGGGTTTAGGGTTTAGGGTTCAGGGTTTAGGGTTTGGGGTATAGGGTTGAGGGTTTAGGGAGGTGCCCCCCAAAACACTGTGCAATAGGTGCGGGGGGGGTTCCAAAATAGGGAGACCCTAATGAGATGCACGTAATATTCTGGGGTATATGCTGTAAGGAGATTCCCCGACTTTGGGGGCAGATCGAGGCAAACAGCTGTCTACATGCAGATCAAGTTCATTCCCTTGCCTGTGGTACAAGCAGGCCACTTCGGAATTCGGCAGACGCTGAAACACCGGTACGGCCACAACCTATGGAGAGTATGGAGAGGACTTTTTGAACACGTGAGCTGACTGTTCAAGGACTTGACATCGGCGCTTGTCGTGCAACCTTGCTTTTCATGAAGTGGCTTCCGTCGCAATTGAGCAAAAGCTTAGTCATTCTCTTGGATGAAGACGAGCCATATGGTTTAGCCGCTCGAGAAGCAAAAGCTGAGACATGGGCTCGGCTATGTTTCTTCCATGCGGTCCCACAAGCCCAATGCCCACACAAGCATGAGCATGCCGCGCCAGGGCTCTCGCTGCTGCGGAAGCTTTGTACTTGCCATTTGTCGAAGACCTGCATGACATGGGCGAAAAGGTAGGGCCGTGCAAGGGAAGCCCGAGCCACAGACCGAAAAAAAACAATCCGGGACTGAGGAGAGGCTCTCGGATCCCGAAAACCCGTACCCCCAAAGAAAATCAAAACAAAGCCCACAACTTGGTGCTGCCTTCTTCGCCTCCTCAGCATCGAAGATCTCCACCACTCTCTCCTGGCTTCAATCGCACACCCAAAGCCGTGAAAACCCCCAAGCCCCCTGAATGGAAATCCCCAAAGTTCCTCGAACTCTGGGTCCAGTGCATAGGGATTGCACTGGACTTTCATAGAGTTTCATGTTCAGGCCGAGCTCCGCAGGCATGCAAACCAAGGCAGGCAGACCATGCGCTTCAGCATTCGCGGCCGGATCTCCGTCTGGGCGTGCAGGCAAAAATTTATGATGGAAGCTGACCCTGAAGCGTACTCACAATTTGACTGGCTGGGTGAAGCATCGGCAGCTGTGGAATAGAATACACAGCATATGCACATATGCATAATAGATTGTGTAGGAACATGTCATGTCTGTCTAATCTACTCAAACCATGCATCGACAGGTCATGTGCTGCATAGGTCATCCTGCGTCGCACCCTACTTCAAGCAAAAGAAAGCGGCTGCCTGGAACTTGAGCACATTCGCCTCGACATCACGGAGTTTCCTTGAGATCGGAGGTTGATGTCTCACTGAGGGTTGGGGTTTCATGGCATGATATGTGGGGCTTATTCCTGTTCACCGCAGTTAAAACAACCGTTCCTTCGAACTATGCCCCCGAACCACCCTGATTTGCAGGAACCATAGAGAGCACCTTGATGCTGCTTGGCTGCTGCCTCCGAAGATATTCTTCAGCGGTCTTCCTCTCCTTCCACAAGTATCTGCGTCTCCCGAAGCCCGCAGAGACGGGATAAGGGGACGGACATTGCCTGTTGTATTGATGAATGATGAGCCATAAAGCGAAGCTCAGCCCTAAACCCTTTTGGATCCCGAAGGGGGTTTCGGGTCTGTTGTTTTGGCACATCTACAACGAAGCTGTCCCAGGAGCCTCTGCAGCAACTTTGGCCACAGCGTGCCATTCTTTGAAAGCTGACCACATGCTCGGAAACTCCTCGACAGCGTGGTGGTCAGAGATTCATTCTCGACTTTTCGTGAGGAGCTTTGAGACGAATATCTGGGCACGCAAAGGATACATAAGTATCAAGGGACAGGGACCGCGCACAATACCTAGACCATACAACCTCAACCCCTTAAGGGCTGCCAAACCGGGTAACTATTCCTGAAGTCGCAGCACAGCATCACATAAGAACGATGACAAGAGGCGCTCTGCTTTGGGGTTTCAGGAGCAAGCACAGCTGAGATCAGCTGAGCCAAGCCACCAAGTACTGCGCAACGCGCGTGGCAGCCTTGAGGCGGGCCCTCCTGGCTTTCTCCTGCTTGGGGGCTTGACTGGGGGGTGCAGGGGGGGTGTGCGGGTGCAGGGTGCGTGCGCTTTGCACGTGTTTGTCAGGGCTTTGGGGATTTAGGGGGCAAGAAACACTGTAGGAACCAGAAGAGGGCCACTCGGCAATCTGAGCCGATGCGAAGGCAAGATCTCTTCATGGAGCACGCAAAGTCACAAGAGTCCTCATTGCTGTGCTTCCCAATGTAGATGCAATGTAGTCATGGAAGGAAACTTGCAGAAGCACAACACATCCCCGGATCCTTTCCAGCGTAGATTCGATTGCGAAGAGCGTCAGCTTCCTGCCATGCACGGAGCTTCAGAAAATGTGGAGGGGGGTTAGGGTTTAGCGTTTAGGGTTTAGGGTTTAGGGTTTAGGGTACGTGTGCATTTTTTTTTGGGGGGGAGGGAATTTGAGCTTCTCAAGGGTTTGGAAGAGCCGACTTGGCCACTGGAAGTCGTCAGAAGAGAGCTGAAGAGCGGGCTCCTACACTTCGGCAGTGGCTTTACCAAGAAGCAGCAAACACAGCAAGATCGGTGCCACCAGAAACCTTCACAATGCGAGGACTCCGCGACCCCTGAACTGCCTCAGCCCCACGAACCCTAAACCTGCAAAACCTGCAAACTCTGAACACCCTGCGGAGGCTTCGACCCCATTGACGCCTTAAGCTTGATGACCGACTGAAAGGCCTTGTAAGAGCGAAGGTCAGGGCAACTGGCGTCAGTGGGGGGGGAGGGGCGGGCGGGGCAGCTTCCAGTTCTTCCATATCCTTTCTATTACTTGATTTGGGTTTGATCCTTCTGATGGGGATGAGTTGCACAAGGGGGGCGAACTAGAACCGGTCCCGCTTTTCTGGATGCCCGCGAAATCGCTGCAACCGCAAACCCAACCCAGACAATAACCTTCAAAAGAAGAACTGGGGTTCTTTGCCCTGGCTACCGTTGCCAGCTATTGCAGCCTAAACCCACAGCTTCATGAGATTCCTGACATAAAAACCCCAGGCCCTGTCAAGGGACATGCTCAGCTTGCCCCATTGGTTCACACACACACACACACAAGGGTCGCACCCAGAACCATCGGGCCAGGATGGTCTTCAGCAGCCCCTTCCGCACTGCACTGTTCGCTTTAGTGTTCAGTCTTTCGGGCACTCGTGTGTGGGGATGGTGGGGTAGTTTTGGGGAATCAACCGCCACAGTGGGGTGCTCGAGATTTCAAGCGAAATGCAGAACTCCAGACGCAAGGCAATTCCTCGAGATCTTACCAAGACCTCCCTGCATCCAAGTATGCCTCAGCCGCGGCAATCAGAAGCACATTAGCAGATGTACGGAGAAAACAGGACTCTTAATAATCTAGTTGTGATTTCATTGTATTGTATTACTGACCGAAACATTTCATGGCCTTAGATACTAGCCGCTCTCAACTCTTCGTAGGAGTTTTGGGGATGATTGCATTCTTTACATGTACTGAATGTCTGCTACTCAGCCTGCTGGGCCACAGCAGAGCCACTTACATCCTACGGACCCCTTGTTGTAAGAGCGCACTCAACCCTGAAACCCTGAACCCTACACATCTCTCTAAAACTTGGGCGCGTACGAAAATAAGGGACCCCTATAATGGACCCCCGTATAGTAGGATTCCCTTACAATAAGGACAAATCCTGAAACCCTGAGCCCCCCCTCCCCCCCTAAACCCTAAACCCTGAACCCTAAACCCCACACCCCAATCCCTAAACCCTAAACCCCTCGAGTCACCATTCCCAAACCCCCGGCCTCATGCTCGGCGCCGGTGAGGAACTCCGCTGCAACGATGAGCCGGTCCTTCTGTGGAAGGACTCTCAGGTGGGAGTCTGCGTAGCATAACGAGTCAGAAACCTACTTTGGGGCTAAGATTCCCTACATGTGGACTCTAAGTGGCGGTCTGTGTAGCATAACGAGTCAGAAAGCCAAAACAATCGGAAGCCGACGGTCCTTGAGTCCGCTTTGCAGAACTCCGAGCTTGCTCACTCGAACCTCAGTTGCAAAGTGTGTTTTCTGGCTTTGGGTTCTAGGTTTAAGGTTTAGAGTTTCTAGCATTTTTAGGGCTTATGGTTTAAAAGTTTTGCGGTTTGGGTTGAGAGGGTATTGTGTTTTGGGTGGGCTTCTTGGGCTTTGGGGATTGAGGGCATGGCACCCTGCAGAAAAGAAACCACTCGCCTACCCCTCTGGAAAGCAGAGGCCGCGGCAGCGACGTGCCAGGCATGCAGGCAGTTGAACCTGGCATGGGGGTTGCTTGTCCCCATGTCCATGCGTACGCGCACGAGCTGTTCAGCTTGACACTTGCCATGGGAACCCTTGTATCTTGCCGTGCTCGAACCACAAGTACTCGCGCAAAACCCTTTGAAAGCCTCAAGTACCTCAGTACCTCAATGCCATGGCTCTATGAAGTCTCCAAAGCCCTGAGACGCTCGACTGGGGCCAGTACAGAAGAACGTCCGCGCAGGCCCCTTTGACCGATTCAGCTGCCTAAGCGGTAGAGCTTAGCGTTTAGGATGTTAAGTTAATGATTAGCTGACATCGAACTGACTGCACTAAGTCACCCTCCAGATCGTCAAAATAATGCCGAGGAGGCCAAGACAAAGCCCCGACGACGTACAAATGGAGGCCCATCCCAAGAAAACCCAAGAATGACGCAAGTGCAGTCAACTTAATGCACCCCTACGTCTGCCCAGTGTTGTCGCTCGAACTCCAGTTTCCCCTGCAACCCTCACGCTTAAATCTTCCCCCCTGCCCTTAACCAGCAGCCATTCCTCCACATAAGCCCGGAGATCCAACAGGAAACGACACTAAGCCCTATACGCACCAGCATTCGCTCTCTCTCTCTCTCACACAACACACACTCTCTCTCTCTCTCTCCTTTCATGGTAGCCCCGACTGTGGTTCATGGGTTTAGGGTTTAGGGCTAGGCTAAGGGTTTAGAGTTTTTCACTCCGCGGGTTTTTGATCTCATCAGGGTGGCTTAGGGTTCACGGATGGGGGGGCTTACCAGGGGGGGGAGGGGGCTCCTAAACCCTAAACCCCAAACCCTAGACCCTAAACCCTAAACCCTGAACCTGAACCCCCCCCCCCCCCCAAAAAAAAAAAACCCACATTCGCACCACGACTGGGTACAGGGCCCGCAGGGCGCCCTGCAGGCCCAGGCGCCGGGCCTCTCCGTGGGCCAGGGGGGTGTACTTTGGGACTTTCGGGGTACTTATTGGACCTATCTTCTTAACGTGTGGGTTTTGTGTCGGGTCTTGTTGTTCAAAGTGTGCTGTAGGGTTTCAAGTGTGGGGTTTTAGGGCTTTGGGGAGGGAGGGGGGGGGGGCATCAGGCGTGCGGCTTAGGGTTTCGGGGTTGAAGCTGCACGTCTGGGCCTTAGTTTGAATTTAGGGCTTCCTTGAAACGACGAACTGCAAGGTTCACCCAAAAGGAGATCTACAAAGCACGCACGCTGCACCCGATCCATGACGTTGATATAGCTCTGAGCTACTCTTAGACTCCTAGACCCTCATCCCACAACCAACGGCCACACGATATGCAT